GGTGTAGGCCTCCGTCGTCTCCTGCTTCTGGATGCGCAGGCTGAAACCTTCCTCCATCGCCTCTCCGAGACGATCCGCCGCCACCTTCTCTGGAAACCGCTCGTCTAATCGAGCGAACACCACCTCCTCACCGGTGTCCACGTTGATGTCCGCCAAGTCCACGTTCTCTACTGCCAGCGCCGCCTGGCCGTCCAGCAGCGTGTACAGCCACGGGCCCAGAGCCTCTGCTGGAGTGCCCCGAGCCTTCTGGACCACGATCGCCGCCTTTGCCCACCGCTTCCACACTTTGTAGGCCGCCGCTCCGTCGTTGCCGTCCCCGCTGAACCGCTTCACGTTGGCAGCACCTCCTCCTTGGTCCGCCATCGTCACCGTGTGACGGGCTCCTGCCCAGTCACGTGCTCCTCACTTCTCGCTGCTATTGGCTCAAGCCACTGCGAATCCGTCTGAGTGGTCGCGAGAGGAGTCGAGCTCGAGGAGGAGAGGATGATGCTCTTCTTGCCCCCTGCTGATAGCGGTCGAGGGCGCCCGCGCGTCCGCGCGGAGGGGGCCTATCGAACCATAACAGTGGCTACGGCAACAGACGGGCCCGCATGGGCTCAGGCCTCGGAGGGGTCTCATGAGGGGCCCTCAGGGGACCGTGTTCGCAGAATCCTTGTGGATCCCTCCAGGGACTCTATAGAATCCCTGTGGATCCCTCCAGGGACTCTATAGACTCCCTGTGGATCCCTACAGGGACCCTTTAGACTCCCTGTGGATCCCTACAGGGACCCTATAGAATCGCTCTGGATCCCTACAGGGACCCTATAGAATCCCTGTGGATCCCTACAGGGACCCTATAGAATCGCTCTGGATCCCTACAAGGACCCTACAAGGATCTGAAAGGATCCCTGTGAATCCCTACAAGCATCCTAGAGGATCCCTGTGGATCCCTACAAGCATCCTAGAGGATCCCTGTGGATCCCTACAAGCATCCTAGAGGATCCCTGTGGATCCCTACAAGCATCCTAGAGGATCCCTGTGGATCCCTACAAGCATCCTAGAGGATCCCTGTGGATCCCTACAAGCATCCTAGAGGATCCCTGTGGATCCCTACAAGCATCCTAGAGGATCCCTGTGGATCCCTACAAGCATCCTAGAGGATCCCTGTGGATCCCTACAAGCATCCTAGAGGATCCCTGTGGCTCCCTACAAGCATCCTAGAGGATCCCTGTGGATCCCTACAAGCATCCTAGAGGATCCCTGTGGATCCCTACAAGCATCCTAGAGGATCTGTATGGATCCCTACAAGAATCCTAGAGGAGATGGATCCCTTCATCCCTACAAGGATCCTAGAGGAGTGGATCCCTGTATGGAGATCCTTCTGGAGGACCCCAATCCTGGAGGATCCCAATGGATCCCTACAGGGATCCTGGAGGATCCCAATGGATCCCTATTGGGATCCTGTGGACCCCTACAGGGATCCTGGAGGATCCCAATGGATCCCTACAGGGATCCAAGGGGATCCCTATGGATCCCTACAGGGATCCTAAGAGGATCCCTGTGGATCCCTACAGGGATCCTGGAGGATCCCTGTGGACCCCTACAGGGATCCTACGGAGGATCCCAATGGATCCCTACAAGCATCCTAGAGGATCCCTGTGGACCCCTACAAGGATCCTAGAGGATCCCTATGGACCCCTGCAGGCATCCCAAAGGATCCCTATGGATCCTTACAGGGATACGAGAGGATCCTTATGGATCCCTGCATCCTAGAGGATCCCCATGGATCCCTGCAGGGATACGAGAGGATCCCTATCGATCCCTACAGGGGCCCTATAGGATGCCTATGGGTCCCTACAGCGGGCCTAGAGGATCCCTATGGATTCCTATAGGGATCCTAGAGAATCCCTATGGATGGGATCCCTGTGGATCCCCACAAGGACCCTATGGGATCCCTGTGGGTCCGTACGCGGACCGTATAGGATCCCTGTCGACCCCTACAGGGACCCTATGGGATCCGTGTGGATCCCTACAGAGACCATGTGGGATCCCTGTGGGCCCATACAGGGACCCTATGGGATCTCTGGATCCCTACAGGGATCTTGTGTGATCGCTGTAGGTCCCTATAAGGACCCTATGGGATCCCTGGGGCTCCCTACAAGGTCCCCATGGGGTCCCTCTAAATCCCTACAGGGACCCTATGTGATCCCTGTGGGCCCCTTCAGGGACATTATGGGATCGCTGTAGATCCCTATAAGGACCCTATAGGGATCACTCTGGATCTCTACAGGGACCCAATAGGATGCCTCTAGACCTCTACAGGGACCCTATGGGATAGTTTTTTGTAAACAGGGGGGCCCTATGGGATCCCTCTAGATCCCTACAGGGGCCCTAGAGGATCACTATGGATCCCTACAGGGACCCTACAGGATCCTGTAGGGATCATCGTGGTCCTCATCATCCTCATCGGCTCCTCGTCCGCCCAAATCCTCATAATCATGCAACTCCTCTTCTTCCTTATCCTCACCCTCCTCATTATCAGCATAATCGTCATCATCAGCCTTGTTTTCGTTATCCTCTTCCTCGTCCTGCTCCTCCTCGCCCCCACCCCCCGTGGCCCCAGGGGGCGGCGCACGCGCGACAGACCACGTCAGCGGCGATGGTCGACGGCTCCACCCCAGTCTTCCACATTCGGTATCATTCCTCGTCCTCCCCCTCCCCCCTGGCCTGTCCTACTCATCCCACGTTCCTCCTCTTCCACGTACATCCTCCTCCTCCTCCTCCTCCCCCTCCTCCCCCTCCTCCTCCTCCTCCTCCTCCTCCTCCTCCTCCTCCTTCTGCTGAAGACCAAAACGAATGTCGACGACACGTGTCGGAAACTCCCAACAAGACAGCGGATTCCAAGGGTGTCCTCCGCACGGCCCATCAGGCCCCATGGACGGCCCAGGACGGCCCCAACAGAGCCCCAACCTGGCCCAAGACGGCCCCAAAAGAGCCCCAAACGGGTCCAACAAGGCCTCTGGAAGGACCCAAGATGACCTCCAATACCCTTCGAAAACAGCCCCAGAAAACCGCCAGGGCGTCCTTCCTCATCCCCATCGGCTACCATCCTCATCATCATTTTCATCATCGTCGTGCCCGTCAACATCATCATTGTCAACATGGTCATAATCATCATCAACATCGCCATCGCCGTCGTCATCGTCACCGTCATCATCATCGTCGTCGTCATGATCATCATCATCATCATCATCATCAACATCAGCATCACCATCATCCTCATCATCATCATCATCATCATCACCATCATCGTCGTCGTCGTCGACGACGTTCCCCTCTTCCTTTTCTTCCCCTCCTCCTCCTCCCCCTCCCCCTCCCCCTCCTCCTCCTCCTCCTCCTCCTCCTCCTCCTCCTCCTCCTCCTCCTGGCCACGAAGCGTGTGAGGCCACGAACCGTGTGAGGGGTGCGCCGAGATGGTCCCGAAGCCTTCGGCTGCGCCCCCTGTAGGGCCACGAGCCGCGTGAGGGGTGCGCCGAAATAGTCCGATGGAACCCTGTAGGGGTTCTATGGGACTCCGATGGAACCCTGTGGGGGTCGAATGGGAGCCCGATGGAACTCTGTAGGGGTTTTATGGGCGTCCTATGGAACCCTGTAAGGGTCGTGTGGGAATCCTATGGAGCCCTGTACGGATCCCACAGGATCCTCCTGTAGGGGTGCGTTGTGTTGTGTTGTGTTGTTCCCCCCCCCCCCTCCCCCCCTCCCCCCCCGGGGGGGCTTGCCCCGCCTGTATCAACAACAACAACGACAACAACAACAACAACAACAACAACAACAATTACTAGCACGTGGGGACACTCCGTTCTCACCAGTGCCAGGGTTTTCATAGGAGGCGGGCAATACCCCCACTTTGTGGGGGGGCCGGTTCAAGCTCTACCAAATTTCCAAACGACTCTTCGCCACCACCCACACCCAGCTTCCCGCCCTATGACGTTCGGACACTTCACTTCGTGGCATGCGGACGACCGTGGCTACTATTCAGGGCCCCGCGGCCGACGACGACGGCGTGCGCGCGCGAAGAAAAAACGAATGTGTCCCGCATGGTATTATTTGACAGGGATGATGGCCCTGGCAGGTGCGCAACCGTTGTTGCAGAAGTTCGAAAAAGTTGCTCGCAAAAGCCCGTTTGACAGAAATGTTTAAAAAGTGTTGGGTTTCCTACGAATCCGCAAGAGCGCGCGGGATGAAATTTTGACATTTTTTTTTGAAAAACCATTGGTTTTTTGATGTTTTTATGTTAAAATCGCTACGAAAACTAAGGTTTTGGAAGGATTTCGTCTTGCGCGCGCGAATGTCCACTTTACCTTATTTTTTGCAAGGGATTCTTGAAGTTTGGTTATGTTAGAACAAGAAATGTCCACTTTAGCTTATTTTTTGCAAGGGAAAACCGATCGTAACAACACAACCGGATCCGGACTCCCCCGTTTTGCCTGAGACTTCCTCACGAAAATGATGAAAATGAGGCTGCGGCCTAGGCGCGGCGAGGGGGCCATGCACCAGGGGTCCCAACAATAATTATTCTTTAGAAGTAATAATGTTCAACAACAACAACAACAAGGGCGAAACCAAGTGCCGCTTCTGGGTGTTACGTTACGACTGCGGGGCGTCCGGGCGCATCGTGCTAGCCCACACCCCGCCTTGCCCATGGCTGGCCCCTGGGCCACGAGGAGGCCCGCCCCCCCTGTCATCAGGGGTGTTGTCGCGATGGCCAGAAGTCCCTGCAAGGCCCTCAGCACTGTGGTCCCTCTTGCTCCTTTGCTGCTTTCGTAGGCGGGGACGCATCTCGGGACGTTGGCGCCCGGGGACTGGGACGTGGTCAGCGGGCCGCGCCGAAACGCACCGGGGCAGAGCCGGCGGAACGACACGCAACGCACACGTCCCTGATCGTATGAGTGCACGGGCCTCTGTGACACGCAGCTCTGTGAGAGCGGCAACGGCTGGCGCCGACTGCGGCCGTGCCACGCCTTCCGCCCGGGCGGACTCCAGCTGCGGCTTCAGGTGGCCGTCCAGCGCGGCGTGGATCCTCTCATGGCACTCCTTGCGCTCAACCTCGCCCTCCTCGCGCGCGGTCACACGGGGGCGGAGGGAGTATCATGAGAAAGATAAAAGAGGCGGACGATGATGAAGATGATGAGGAGGAGGATGATGAAGATGAGGATGAGGATGAGGATGATGATGAAAATGATGATGCTGATGATGATGCTGATGATGATGATGCTGATGATGATGCTGATGATGATGATGATGATGATGATGATGATGATGATGGTGATGGTAATGGTGATGATGACGATGAGGAAGAGAATTCCGGGTGGCTGCGTCGATGCCGACCCCGAAGCCAGCAGCGAACAGCGAACAAGAGAAGTCTTCCTCTTCCTCCTCCTGCTCCCGACCTCCCTCCTCATCTCCCCCTCCTCCTCCTCCTCCTCCTCCTCTTTCTCCTCCTCCTCCTCCTCCTCCTCCTGCTCCGTCTCACGAGACCACTGGACTTGCTGCGCGGTGCAACGACCTCGCGCACCACGGCCCCGCCGGGCTGTCGCTGGCCGCGGGGCAGCAGCCCAAAAGGCCGCCGCGCTCGACAACTTCGAGCCGGCGTGCAGGATGAGGTGGAGCAGGAGGGGGATGAGCATGAAAGGAGAGAGGAGAGAAGGAGGGGAGGATGATGAGAAGGAGGAGGAAGAGGATGAGGATGAGGAGGAGAGGGAGGATGAGGAGGAGGAAGGTGAATAGGGGAATGATGATGATGATGATGAGGAGGAGGAGGAGGAGGAGGACGAAGGGAGGAGGAAGAGGACCAGCCGAACCGCAAGATGCATCAACGATGTTTCAATGAATCCTCCCTCCATGGTTACAGTGGCCCCCCGTCATAAGTCACTAGAATAATTGATTGCCACTGCGGGAATTGGCTCGTTAAAAACACAATCGTCGGAGAGCCCCCAATCATGCCAAACCGCCGTTCCTGAGACTTCAACACCGTGGCTCAATACGACTGCTGCGTTTTGACAAATCTAGACTGTGTCAGGACACCATTCTTGGGACTTCGGCACCGCGAGCCACCATGACTGCTGCGTCCTGTCGTGTCAGCACCATTCCTGGGACTTCGACCATACGAGTCCTTGAAACCCATGTAAGCTTGAACAACGAATATGCGCTGCACGTCAAGCGATAACCGCATTTTGTAAACGCGGCGCCCCCTATCTGTGAGACTGCTGCAAACAAGACGAATATGCGCGGCGCTAAGAGGAATGAATCACAAATTGATAGCCACCCGCCTTCGATCCGTGAAGCGGCTGCAAGCTTGTAGCACGACTATGCGCGGCGCTGAGGCGACAGTAACATTGTGAAAACGACCAGCCCTCCATCGGCGAAACTTTTTGTCCAAATAGGTTTGCCCACAGGAGTCCTAGCTCATAAGAAGTAATCGGTCTTTAGGGCCCCCCCTTCCCCCCCTTTTGCCAATGGCACCCCCCTCCCCCCCTCCCCTTTTGCTCGTTTATTTTCGCTCGTGTCTTGTTGCTTGCCATTTCATGCTTGGCTTCCTCTCCTCCCGACCTCTCCTCCCAGTCTTCTCCTTCTATCGCTCTTCTCCTGTCCTCCTATCTATTTGGAGTTTACGCTAGCTGATATTGCATCTTTCAGACTTAAGAGTCATACGTGGCGAGGCAAACTCAGGCGCAACGCCCCGCCCGCCCGACCGACACGCCCGGGGGTGCGACAGGGAGGAATCACTCATGAGGAACAGGGATGGGGCAGGAGGAGGAGGCGGATGACGAGGAGGATGACGACGAGGAAGAGGAAGAGGAAGAGGAGGAGGAAGATGGGGAGCAGGAGGAGGGAGGGGATGAGGAGGGGGAGCTCACCATGAGGGAAAAGGGGCTGCAAGACTCTAAAGCTTTCCTGCAAGGGCCAGCTTCTCATCCTGGGTCGTTCTTCGACGTCCTCGTGGCCCCGGACAGGGCCACGGGAAAGCCCGCAAGCGGCGACGCACATTTGAACCCCTCTCACTCGTCACCCCTTCTGGTCGACCCGTATCACAAGGACGCACGAGAAGGATGCAAGGGCCTTGGAAGGGCGTTTCAGAGCATGTCGAGCGGGGCGCGGCCAGCAAGATTGGCCAAAGATGGTCCGAGGAGGCAAGGATGCAAGGGTATCCTTGGGAAGGTTGCCCATCCCTGCTATGCGGGTTGACTGTATCTCCACCGGGAGGAGGCCCCGTCGTGGTTTGCGTCACGCCGTGGCCTCCCCGAGGCCTGGGCCCGTTCCCCAGGGTCGGTCCTGGGGCCTGGCCAGAGCCCCTCAGGTTAAGTCGGGCCTGTCCCTCTACAGGGGGGAAATTCAAAAGTAGTCAACAAAAGTGAGGGGACTACTTTTGAGTATGTCTGGACATGTTTCGAATAGCTTTTGAATATTTCCTTATTTTTCGTCCAAGATCCCCCTGTAGAGGGACAGGCCCGACCTAACCCTAAGGCCTGGAGGCCGAAAGTGGCCCCGAAGCGCCCGTCGTGATGTTGGCTGCTCGGTGATAGCCAGTCAGCTTCTCTCAACGCCAGCACGAGGACGAGGACGGAGGCGACCAGACGGAGAACCCCTGCAAGGACACTCGCGACGATCCATACAAGGTCGTGGTTAGCACGCACACACATAAAAGCGAACAGGGCGGCCGACCCCCTTTTCCCATGTGTTTGGTTCTGAGCCCGCATCGATCCGATGGGGCCCCGCGACCCGAACAAGATCAAACGCGTGCGTCCGCCGCGGTGTTGTTTTCACGACTACTGGGGATGAGCATCCTGCACCCACCTCTCGTCCTCTCCCTCCCGCTCCTCGTCTTTCTCCTTATCCGACACCTTTTCATTGCTACCATCATATTCGCTGTATGAAATCATGCCTTCCCACATCCTCCAACTCGTCATTATGATAATCTTCCCCCTCCCCCACCTCCTCCTCCTGCCCCTCCCTCTCCGTCTCTTTCTCTCTCTCTCTTTCTCCCTCCCTCCCTCCCTCCCTCCCTTTTTGTATTTTATTGTTGTTTCCTCTCTCTCTGTCTCCCGCTCTCTTCGACGATGACGACCTCGCCCGTCATCGCTCTGGACGACGGCCACGACCTCGACAGCGCCCGCCCTCGACGACGACGGCGACGACGACGACGACGACGACGACGGCAGGATGGCCTGCGTCCACTCCCGCACGAGCAGCTGCAGCATGTTCTGAACGGCCTTGTGCCCATCTGCCGGGCCGCTCACCTGGGGAGCTGCTGCTGCTGCCGGCAGGATTGTATCGCGACGAATTGCGCGGTGGTGACTGACTAGGGGACCACATGCGAACCCTACCCCTAAGTACCTCCCTAGATTTCGCATGGGAGGGTTCGCATGTGGCTCTCCACTGACACCACGTGAACCGCCCAACCTTTCACCAGCGCGGCTTTCTGATAGCGCGGTTCCTTCGGGGCCACCGGCAGCCCACGCCGGGGTCGCTGCCGCGCCGGCACGACGCGAGCCTGTCAGACTCCCCCAGCTGCGCGCCGCCCTGGCCACCTCGCGCCGGGAAGAAGTAAGCCGCAACTGTTTCTCTGTGAGCGGTCTTCGGCGACTGGGGGCCCTCGGAGGGCCCCAGGCGCCGTGAAAAACCGTGCAAGGAGAAACGCCAGACCCAGGGAAGAGCTCCGACCTCCAGGGGCCCACGCCGCCAAACGAAAATCAAGACGACGGCGACCTGGGCACGCAGGGGCCCGTGATGTTCCGTGGGGCCGCAGAAATGAAAAACGATTACTCACTGCGTGGAGCTCCCCATATGTACATCTTATGTTTTATGATATAGTGAGCTGACTGCCTGACTATAAGAGCGCGTGCGCGTGGTCGACAGGTCCGACGAAGACGGTTAAACACCGATGTGCGTGAGTATGAGTGAACGTTAAGTTTGAATACGACTGAATCTGCGTCCATCCTCTTCGCTCCTCCTCCTCATAAGTCATAGCGATGACGTGGGAGGTTTGGGTGACGTGGGAGTCTCGGGGGACGTGGTAGACTTGGGAGACGTGGTAGACTTGGAAGCCTTGGGAGCCTTGGGAACTTTGGGAGACTTGGGAGACATGGGGCACTTGGGAGACTCGGGACACTTGGGACACTTGCGGCCCTTGGGAGACACGGGAGACTTGGGCGGCATGGGAGACTTGGGAGAGTTGGTCGCCTCGGGAGACTTGATAGACTTAGGAGACTTGGTATTCCTGCTGGGAGACATGGAAGACGTGGGAGACTTGCGGGACTTGGAAGATTTTAGAGACTTGGGGGGGCATGGAAAACATGGGACACTTGGGGGACTTGGGAAGCTTGGGAAGCATAGGAGGATTGGGCGACTTAGGAGACCTGACAGACTTGGGAGACTTGGGCGACTTTCGGCGCCCCGCCTGAGACATCCTCACAATCTGCTCTCCAAGCGAAAGATGTTGGGGCAGAAAGCAGGCAAACCGCTTGAGACATCCCCACAAAACGGCCGCGAACGGGACCGTGCAATACCCCTTGGCGGCTCCCCTTCGGGGTGCTGAAACCAGCGCCCCGCCTGAGAGATCCTCACAATCTGCTCTCCAAGCGAAGGATGTTGGGGCAGAAAACAAACAAACCGCTTGAACCATCCCCACAAAATGGCGCGAACGAGACCGTGCAATACCCCTCGGCGGCTCCCCTTAGAGCGTGAAAATGAGCGCCTCGCTCGAGACATCCTCCAAATCTGCTCCGAAAGCGAAGGATGTTGGGACAGGACACAAGCAAACCGCTTGAGCCATCCCCACTAAACGGCCGCGTGTCATACCCCTCGGCGGCTCTCCCTAGGGACGTGAAAATGAGCGCCTCGCTCGAGAAATCCTCCAAATGCTCCGAAAGCGAAGGATGTTGGGACAGAAAATAAGCAAACCGCTTGAGCCATCCCCACAAAACGGCCAAACGGGACCGTGTCATACCCGTCGGCAGCTCCCCTTAGGGACGTGAAAATGAGCGCCTCGCTCGAGACATCCTCCAAATCTGCTCCCAAAGGGAAGGATGTTGGGACAGAAAACAGGCAAACCGCTTCAGACATCCCCACAAAACGGCCGCGAACGGGGCGCGCGTGAGTCTCAGCATGAGTAAGTCTGAATCGGACTAGGTCTGAATATGAGTAGGTCTGGGTATGAATCATTTTGTGTGTGAGTAAGTCGGCGTATGAGTAAGTCTGAGTGTGAGTCAGTCTGTGTATGAGTAAGTCTGGGTATGAGGAGGAGAGGGGAGGAGAAGGAGAAGGAGGAGAAGTCGGCGGCGTCTAAGAAATAACAAAAAAGATCCCTCCCCCGCCGGGAGGGGGGGGGGGGTAGCGACCCCCCCCCGGGTCAGATACGACGCCCCCCCCTGGGACTCCTCTTCCCCTGGGCTCCAGCCAAACCGACCTTGAGCAACCTCGTAATTGAGTCGAAGGGAAGCCCCTTCCCTTTGATCCCTCCCCCGCCGGGAGACGGGGGGGGGGTAGCGACCCCCCCCCCGGGTCAGATACGACGCCCCCCCCTGGGACTCCTCTTCCCCTGGGCTCCAGCCAAGCCGACCTTGAGCAACCTCGTAATTGAGTCGAAGGGAAGCCCCTTCCCTTTGATCCCTCCCCCGCCGGGAGGGGGGGGGGGTAGCGACCCCCCCCCCGGGTCAGATACGACGCCCCCCCCTGGGACTCCTCTTCCCCTGGGCTCCAGCCAAGCCGACCTTGAGCAACCTCGTAATTGAGTCGAAGGGAAGCCCCTTCCCTTTGATCCCTCCCCCGCCGGGAGGGGGGGGGGTAGCGACCCCCCCCCCCGGGTCAGATACGACGCCCCCCCCTGGGACTCCTCTTCCCCTGGGCTCCAGCCAAGCCGACCTTGAGCAACCTCGTAATTGAGTCGAAGGGAAGCCCCTTCCCTTTCATTCCTAGCGACCCCCCCCCGAGTCAGATACGACGCCCCCCCCCCGTACCGACCTTGAGCAACGTCGTCATTGAGTCGAAGGGAAGCCCCTTCCCTTTCCCTTCCCCGACGGGGGGGGGAAAAGAGGTCCCGGGGGGGGTCCCGGGGGAGTCCCGGGGAAGTCCCGGGTCAGATACGACACCTCCCTCCCCCACCTTCTCGTCCTTCTCCCCGTTCCCCCAAACCATCCCACGGCCCGTGCCTCTTGCTGCGCATTGCGAACAGGGTCGGCGGCACCGGCCGTCAGGCCTTCGCAATAACAAAAAAAAATATCTTAGGATAGGGGGAATAAAAATAATAAGATTAATGAGAATAATTGGAAGAATAACAATGATAATAACGAATTGCAGAAACATGAACTTTTGGCGCTCCGCGCGGGTTTCTTGGATCGGGGCTGGACCCGCCAGGGGCGGCGCCGGAGGCGCTCGAACGGGACCCTCCTCACCCTGAGCTACCCCCCAGCACAGAGGCCACACAGCACAGAGGCCACACCGCGCCCATCTTGGGCTCTGCGCTGCCGTGCCCACACCTCCTGGCCAGCCAGGTCTGGACCAGGAGGACGATGGAAAGAGGAAAACTTCTCCTCCTCCTCCTCCTCCTCCTCCTCCTCCTCTGGCTCGGACCCCATCTGGGAGGGGGCCTAGGAGGAGAACTTGTGCTTTGCTGCAGACCAATGCAAGTCAAGCAAGCTTCCAAATGGATTGTCGAGCGGGATCGAGGAACAAAAACAAGAACAGAGCACCGAATTCTGATCGAGGCCTCATCAGAGCTCCCCCGAGTCCAGACACTTTTTATGCCGGGGTTCTCTTGATGAAGTCTCTCTCCTGCGCTTCACACGGAAATGGCGTGAGGGCCGCTTGGCCGTGCAAGGCGACTCGTCACTCCATGCGCGCACCACGTAACTGAACTTAAACAACAACGAAGCCAAACCCATAACAAGAAAAACGACTTGTGCTCCACAAACCATGACCGTCATGCACCCACTCGGCTACACGCGAGAATGACCAACGGCAAGAGTGACATGTTGTGCACGGCTCTGGGGAATCTCTATTCCTCGTCCTCCTCCAAGCTCCTCCAAGTTTCCTCTCCTCCTTTACCTCCCCCTCCTCCTCCTCCCCCTGCCTCTCCCGTTCTCCTCCTTCTCCGCCTCCTCCACCGCCCTCCTCCGCCCCCAGACCCCCGACGTCATGATTTTGTTCATTACATCGACCCCTGGAGGTCTCGACCCATTCCCCTGGACCGGTTTTTCATCCTGAATCGGTTTTTGACGGTCCCGAGGGCCGGTAAGGGCCGCCAGAGGCAGAAAAAAACAAAAAAAAAAACTCGAGTCACGATTTTTACGTAACAGCGAAAACTGATAGGTTTCTAATCGTGTCAAAAGAGAGCATCTTGACTCCCCAAGGGGGTCTGGGCGGGTGCCCCGGAGAAGCCGCGGAAGTCGTTTTAAGCAAACAGTTACACACTTCGTGGTCTTCGAGGTCCCAGAACTCCATTCCCGGGCCACATTCTGAATGCCCAGAGCCAACTGTAGGCCACTTCGTGCTCTTCGAGTTCCCAGAACTCCATTCCCGGGCCACATTTTGAATGCCCGGAGCCAACTGTAGGCCACTTCGTGGTCTTCGAGTTCCCAGAACTCCATTCCTGGGCATGATTTTGAATGCCCGGAGCCAACTGTAGGCCACTTCGTGTTCTTCGAGTTCCCAGAACTCCATTCCTGGGCACATTTTGAATGCCCGGAGCCAACTGTAGGAGAGAGGCTGCTGCTTGAGGCAGGCTGAGGCTGAGGCAGGCTGAGGCTGAGGCCGAGGCTGAAGGCAGACTGAGGCTGAGGCTGAAGCAGGCTGAGGCTGAGGCTGAGGCAGGCTGAGGCTGAGGCTGAGGCAGGCTGATGCTGAGGCAGGCTGAGGCTGAGGCTGAGGCTGATGCAGGCTGAGGCTGAGGCAGGCTGGGGCTGAGGCCGAGGCTGAAGGCAGACTGAGGCTGAGGCTGAAGCAGGCTGAGGCTGAGGCTGAGGCAGGCTGAGGCTGAGGCTGAGGCAGGCTGATGCTGAGGCAGGCTGAGGCTGAGGCTGAGGCTGATGCAGGCTGAGGCTGAGGCAGGCTGAGGCTGAGGCCGAGGCTGAAGGCAGACTGAGGCTGAGGCTGAAGCAGGCTGAGGCTGAGGCTGAGGCAGGCTGAGGCTGAGGCTGAGGCAGGCTGATGCTGAGGCAGGCTGAGGCTGAGGCTGAGGCTGATGCAGGCTGAGGCTGAGGCAGGCTGAGGCTGAGGCCGAGGCTGAAGGCTGAGAGGCTGAGGCTGAGGCTGCAGGCTGAGGCTGAGGCTGAGGCAGGCTGAGGCTGAGGCTGAGGCAGGCTGATGCTGAGGCAGGCTGAGGCTGAGGCTGAGGCTGATGCAGGCTGAGGCAGGCAGGCTGAGGCTGAGGCCGAGGCTGAGGCAGACTGAGGCTGAAGCAGGCTGAGGCTGAGGCAGGCTGAGGCTGAGGCTGAGGCAGGCTGAGGCTGAGGCTGAGGCTGAGGGCAGGCTGAGGCAGGCTGAGGCTGAGGCCGAGGCTGAAGGCAGACTGAGGCTGAGGCTGAGGCTGAGGCTGGCTGCTGAGGCTGAGGCAGGCTGAGGCTGCTGAGGCTGAGGCTGAGGCAGGCTGAGGCTGAGGCCGAGGCTGAAGGCAGACTGATGCTGAGGCTGAAGCAGGCTGAGGCTGAGGCTGAGGCAGGCTGAGGCTGAGGCAGGCTGAGGCTGGGGCTGAGGCAGGCTGAGGCTGAGGCTGTGACTGCGACTGCCGTTGCCACTGCGACTGTCATCGCGCATGCGACTACGACTGCGAGAACAGCAGAATTCTTCAACTGGATTCTCATCTGAATCTTAAGGGGAATGCTTCCAGATATGCTCCTACACATCGCTGTTAGGTTGCTTTGCCGGGATAATTTTCATTACCCGAGGGAGTCCGGGTCCTCAGAAGGTGGAGGCGGGTGGCCAGGGGGCCCGCCCAGCAGCACCGGGCGGGGGCATGCCCTGGTCAGCCTGGAGGAGGAGGAGGAGGAGGAGGAGGAGGAGGAGGAGGAGGAGGAAGAGGAGGAGGAGGAGAAGGAGGAGGAGGAGGAGGAGGAGACGCGCAGTTTGGCACTCCTCGGGGTCGCCGGCCCGTGCGCGGGCGGCTTGGACTCCTTGATGAGCTCCACTATCTTGTCCAAGCACTCAAAATTGGCCCTCACCGCCTCCTGGGGGCTGACGACGGGGCACATCCAGTGAACCCGTATCATAAGGATGCGCGTTAAGGACGCGAGGGCCTCTGAGGGCCACGATAACGCTTTTCGAGCGAGGCTGGCCAGCGAAAGTCGCTAAGGATGGACCGAGGAGGCAAGGATGCAAGGGTACCCTTGGGAAGGTTACCCATGCTTACTGTGCGGGTCGACTGTAGGACGAGGCCAGAGGGATGGAGGAGGGGAAAGGGAGAGAGGAGGCGAGAGGGGCGGAGGGAGACGAGGAGAGGAGGCGGAGGAGGAGAAGGAGGAGGTGGAGAAGGAGGGAGGAGGAGGAGGAGGAGGAGGAGGAGAAGGAGGAGGAGGGAGAAAGAGGAGGGAGGAAGATGGGGAGGGGTGGATCAAGAGAGGGGGGGTATGGAGCGGAATGGGTAGTGGTCCCTCGGACGGTGGATAGAACGAAGGCTACTGTGAACAGTCTGAGGCTTCAGGATGAAGCACATTCGTTGTCAGCATCAGGAGGGGTGGAGATCGAGGCTGTGGAACTTGTGGGCAGGTGGGGACTGTGGGATTCGTGCGATCTGTGGGGCCGGTGGGACCTGTGGGACTTCTGTGGCCTGTGGGACGTGTGGGACCTGTGGGGCAGGTGGGACCTGTGGACCTGTGGACCTGTGGGCCCTGCGGGACTGGTGGGACACGTGCGACCTGGAAGCCCTCAGTGGTCCATGGGGCCTATGGGACCTGCGACACCTGTGGGACTTCTGGGACCTGTGGGACCTGTGGGAACCGTCGGACTGTTGAGACCTGCGCGACCTGTGGGAGCTGTGGCGCCAGCGGGGCCTGTGGGACCTGGGGGACATCTGTGGCACCTGCGAGACATGCGACACCTGTGGGACATGTGGGGCCTGGTGGACCTGTGGGAATAATCGGACCTGTGAGACCTGCGAAACCTGTGGGAGCTGTGGCACCAGCGGGACCTGTGGGACCTGGGGGGGCATCTGTGGGACCTGCGAGACATGCGACACCTGTGGGACGCGTGGGGCCTTTGAGACCTGCTGGAACTGTTTGACCTTTGAGACCTGTGGGACCTGCGGATCCTGTGGGACATGTGCGACCTGTGGGACGTGCGAGACCTGCGACACCTGTGGGGCCTGCCAGGCCTCTGGCACCTGTAGGACCTGCGGGACGACCTGTGACATCAGTGGATCCTGCGGGACCTGTGGGACCCGTGGGGCCTGCGAGACCTGCGAGACCTGTGGGACCGGACAGCACCAGGGCGAAAGGATTACAGAATTCATACTGACAAATTGTAGAGAGGACACAGGAGAAAAAAGATAAGTACGAAAAGGAGGACCAGGAGGAGACAGGAGGAGGAGGAGGACGAGGACGAGCAGGAGGAAGCTATTAAGAATATGAGGGCGATAATGATAATGGAAGAGGAGAAGGGGAGGAGGAAGAGGGAGGATGATAAGGGGTAGGAGGACGAGAACGATGAGGAGGAGGAGAGGAGGAGGAGGAGGAGGAGGAGGAGGAGGAGGAGGAGGAGGAGGAGGAGGAGGAGCAGGAGCAGTAGGAGAAGGAGGAGGAGGAGGGAAGTAGGAGCAGGCGGAGGGCGCAAGGAGGAGGGAATGGGGGGGTCAAAGGCGGCGGAGGGGGCAGGAGGGAGGAGGACGTCGCGGGCCCCCCTCCCTCTGGAGGCCGGCGGGGGGGTCCGGCTCCTCCATCGCCTGGATCTGATCCGCCGCCTTCGAGAGGAAAACGGGTGGGAGGCGGAGGAACAAGGCGAAACGTTAGGGCATTAGGGAGGGGGATGACAACGAAAGAGAGAAAAGATGACGTGCAAACCCTCTCGCTTTCTCTTTCTCGCTTTAGTTCTCTGTCTTTTAACATGTCTCGCTCGCTCTCTCTTTGTGTATGTCTCTCTCTCTCTCTATCACTCTCTTTCTCTCTCTTTCTCACTTTCTCTCGCTCTCTCTCTCTCTCTCTATCCATCTCTCTCTCTCTCTCTCTGCATCCCACTCTCTCTCCCTTTCATAGTCGGCAGATGAGTGGGAGGATAGGGAGGAGGAGGAGGAGGAGGAGGAGGAGGAGGAGGAGGAGGAGGAGGAGGAGGAGCAGGAGCAGGAGGAGGAAGAGCAGGAGGAGGAGGAGGGGGACGGAGGACGGAGGACGGAGGAGCAGGAGGAGGAGGAGGAGGAGGGGGAGGAGTGAGAGGAGGGAGGATCAGGATGAGGATCAGAGCTCCGAAGAACCTCTTGTCTTAGTCAACTACGGGATTGAAGCCAGGCTCGGAGGAAAACCACAAGAAGCGGGATCAAGCTCAGGGCAGGAGTGCCTCCGTGGCTTACGCCGAAGGCTAGCGTCCTGAGCCCCAGAAACCGTCTCGGGAACGCATTACCCAAAACGGGGCCCAGCAGGAGCGAAAGGGGGGCCAGGCCACGACGACAGATGGACGGCGGCGAACAGCGACGGCGACACGAGGGCCCAGGGACCCGAGGGGGGGGGAATGTTTAAACACCTGCTCGAACTCCTTTTCTAGCTAGTCTCAAAATCTGGCGCGAGGCCAGCGGCGGGGGCGCCACCAGAGAACGCCAGCGGGAACACGACAAGCAAGTAGAAGAGTTGCAGGAGGAGGAGGAGGAGGAGGCGGAGGCGGAGGCGGAGGATCGAGCGTCCCAGGAGAAGTTCGGTCTCCGCCTAGGGCCGCTGAGACCGCGCGTGCGCCGAGCCTCTCAGGCTCGTGTCGAATTTGTCCAGGGCGTCGTTGGCGGGGGCCAGGAAGTCGACCGAGACGTGGGGCGCACCGTCGGAGGGCGCCATGGTGAACTCGTCAACGCTGGTCTCGAACAGGTCAGCAGGATCGTAGTCGGGGAAGGCCGCGCCAGACAGACCCGCCATCATGTCAAGGGCCGCGAACTCAGTTCCCATCTGAAGGTCATGAGCAGCATAATGCGGAGTGCCATGGGCAGGTTCACGTGGAGAAAATGAAGCTTCCACCGCGTGATCTTCTTCACCAGGTGCCTCACTGTCACCTTCATGATGTCCAGTTGGAGGACGATCCCCAGGTGGGTCACCCTGCGCCCGTGGAACTTGGTGTTCCCGATCCGCGGCGTCGCGTCCAGACGGAGGATGAGCCACAGGTGGACGTGCTAGGTCAGGAGTTGTACAATGTGCCAAAAGAAGAGCCCCCCCCCCCCCAAGGAGCCATCAGGGTAGATGACCCCAAAGCCGCGTGCAGCCATCGTCGCATCGAAGTCGTCATCAATGCTCGACGACCCACTCGAAGAGCTGCTCGCGCGCCGTGCCAACCGCGTCGTGGGTGACGCGGGGCGCGGGGCGCACCGCGAAGAGCTAGCTGCGGGGTCGCGGGTCACAGCCTCATCAGGACTATCTCGAGAGCGTCGTAGAATACGCTGGAGTTGGCGATCAAATTCCTCATCGCTGAGTACTGGCCCATGATGTGGTCCATGTTCTTCATCTTGCATCGCAGCGTCTGACTCGTAGGCAGGCAGATTGTCGCCGCCACCCGTGCCCGACATCATAGCCTCGAGGTCCAATGGGTGGGGTTCGGGACACCTTCGTGGTCGACACTATCATAATCTTCATCGGGGGGCACGTCGTACAGAGTAAGCTCCCCGCTCGCCTGGTCCGCGAGCAAGTGCGGGAGAAGAAGGAGGCGCGGCAAGGCCTCAGGCGGTGTAATCGGGGAGGCCGCTGTATTCTGCATCAAGAAGTCGTCGCGGTTGGCCGCGGACATGCGGGTCGGGTCGGCCCTCCAACCAAGCTTCTTCAGGTGTGCGATGGCCAAAAGGCGGAGGCGACGAAGCCGCTTCTCATCTTGCGCTGGCCAGGGGCCACGAAGGAGACGACGAAGTTGCCCCCGCGCAAAGGCGCTGCTGTACCATCCGCCGAGACACCAATCCAGCGCGAGTTGTCTCCGGTTCGCCCAACCACCGCCCAGGATTTGTAGGTCATCATACCTGAGCACATTCTCCACGTAGTCAGGGCACCATTGCATCCATTGTTCATAATCCGATCCGCATAAGTTGACCAGCAGCGATGGAATCCAAACACGGGCCCAAGCTTCAATCCTGTCCACCAGTGCCTTACGCCGCTCTGCAGTCGGTAGGGCAGTCTCTTCAGGCGCAGGGATAAAGGACTCAAGAAACGCAGGAAGATCGTCCTCGTTAATCGTAGCTGCAATCTGAATAGCGCCCTCGTTGTCCCATGCTAGTCCTTCAGTGTGACCAGGCGCTTCACCTTCATGGCCAGTGCGACTCGACGTAGAGGCCAAGGATGGTGGAGAAGGAATCGACGCGCTCGTCGTAGTTGTATACGAAGTGCCGGTTATGTCCCCATGGGCAGCAGCCAGCGGCTGAAATATGAGCCCCAGCGTGAAGACGATCATTGATGGTATGTCGTTGGAAATCCCTGCTTGAGCCGCGATGCTCTGCGGATGTGACATACTGCATATCGGAGTGGCTGGACGTCGGGAATCGGATTGCCATGCCTCTCTAACCCGTGGCTCGGACCCCGCCTGCATCCTATGCACCAAATGTCCCGAACCAGTGACTGTGGCAGAGTCAAGAGACGCCACCAGACCAGTCGAAGTAGCAGCAGCATTAGGCGACGGAGGCGTCGGTGGACTGCAGCACGAGGATGGCGGTGTTGACCTCGGCGATGCTGGCGACGAGGACAAACTCTCCGCGATATCGAAAGCGCCTTCAATGATGTCGAGAGTTGGCATAGATGGTGGGTAACAGGACAACTCGCTCGAAGGCGGGGAGGACGAACCAGGTGAAGACGAGGAAGATGATGAGGAAGACGATGAAGAGCAGGGAGGTGCATGTCTTCTGTCAGGATGCTTGCGCCCAGCACACCGTGCTCGAAGGGGTGCTCTCGATGGGCCTGTAGCTCCAAGCTGCGCCGTACGAATGGCTGCCTTGACAAACGAGCGCGCCGCCTCTCTAGGCCAAGGGTGGGTGGAAGACGAAGGGGGCGGCGCACACATACGTGTAGTACATCACCACAATGTCAAATAGTACCTTGCACAGTTCGACCGCCGAGCCCAGTAAGCCGAGACGCCCCAGCGGCGAGGGGGGCCGCGAGTAGCCAATCTCTTGCTCCAAAAGCAGGCGAAAAAGGTCGGCACTGGAGGTGGCGGTGCACAGCATCGGGTTCCCGAAGACAACCAAATCGGCAAGAGAGGCGCCCGTGCGGTTGAAGTATCCTGCGCGAGGTCGCCCAGCCGTTGTCCACCGTCTTGATGCAGGCGAACGCCCAGGGTCATTGAGCATCCCCGCGGATATTTGATAATGCGCTCCCACCTGTGCGCAGGAACCATGGGGCCACCAATCGCACCAATCTCAGGATATCGAAGGTTGAACCTTTTCTCGATAAAATTCCAAAATGGTTGGGGGCGCAGGCGCTTCTTGTTCAGCAGGGTGACGCAACTCTGTAGGCCCACCGGCTTGGAAAACTCAGCTTGCCAGCGGTCAGCCTCTGCGTTAGCTGCAGCAAGGTGTGCGTGCGAATAATCAGGAAACAATCGGGTTGTAGAACAGTCTCTGACTCTGGCCAGTGTTTCCACGCAGGCTTCTGGTTTCCAGAAATGTGGATACGGACGCCACCCAACAGCAACCGTTTGGGAAAGTGCCCGACGATCGCCCAGCAGAAGGTGTTGGCGGTACATCCATTCATGCAGCCTTTGAAATTCGGGAAGCGTAGAGCGCGTTGCCCTCACCAAAGCCCCAATGCCCAAGGCAAGCCAGCAGGGGATGGAGGGCCCACCCGCGCTGCGGAGTTGTAGCCAGGACGCGATGTTGAAGGTGCCGAGGGGGATCCTGGACGTCCAGGAGAGGGCGGCCAGTTCCTCTCGGATGAGCCACCGCGGAAGCATGCGGAACCACGCGACATAGGAGAGCACAGGAACAATTCTTGTGGTGTAGTGGACCGCCAGCCGCGAGACCGCCAGCGGGCTCCCACCAACAAGCTTTGATCTCATTTTGGCTTTGATAGAGGGCGCCAGCCAGCACGAGCTCTCATCTGCAGCAGGACCCATGGCTAGGCCGAGATATATAAGAGAACTAACCACCTGAACATTGGCAAAGAATGGAACCACTTCACGGATCGAGTCGCGTTGAGAGGCAGCGAGCTGCTCAGAGAATGGCGCGTGAAGCGGCGCGAGCAGGCATTTGGAGAGCTTGAGCGCCAGGGTAACGATCTTCTCCGCCGTCTGCTTCACCTCCGCAAGGATGCGTAGGGCCTGAAGACGTCTAACTACGCAGCCAATGTCGTCGGCGCATGCTCGTGCCAGGCCGAGACGAGAGCCTTCCATCCTTTCTTGCAGATCAACAAGGAAACAGGCCGTCACCGCCGCACAGATCGATCCACTAAGCGAACAGCCTTGGATGGTGCCAGATGAGATACGCCAAGCAAAGGTAGGGGGCCCACTCTTTATCACGATGGCGTCTAAGATATGATAAAGCTTCTCAAGCATAGCCATGAAGGCGAAGGGAGCCTGCATTTGCCGAAAGACCATCAGCATGAAAGACTGTGCCAAGCCAGGGAAGGCCGCGCCGAAGTCCAGAGCAACCAGCGCGGGGAGGTCTGAGCTCGCATTTGGCAAATTTGAATATGCACGAGCGGCTACGTCAAGCTCGAGGATGTTGACCCCGAAATTCCTCTTGGGGATGAAACCCCTCTGCAAACGGGGAGCCCAATCCATGAGAAGCTTGCTGAATTG